TGATGACATTGATCCGCTTGCATCAATACAAATGAGTAAATTTATTGGATTTCGTTTAAATGTATTTTCATTTAAATTTGAATTCAATCCAACAGTCATATAATATTCACAAGATTGTTCTTCTTTGTCTTCTGCTAAAGGATTTTTTGTGATGGCCATTGAATAAGATGGACAAAATAAATTTTCTTTATTACTATTTTCTTGTTGATCACCAGTATCAAAAAAATAATCATTAAAGAGACCTTCATATGATAAATCTGTTATGCTGGGTAAATAATTATTTTGAATATTTTCTCGAAAATTATTCACATCTTTTGCACCACCAACAGCAAATCCTAATCTTGGAGCTATTGAAATTTCACCACCTCGTAAACCTATAGGACAATAATAAGACATATATATATTTTATAAAGAAAAGCAGAAACCGTGCTACTAACGAAGAACAAGATGAAGTGTTGATTCTTTTTGGATGTTGTAGTCACTAAGTGTACGACCATCTTCAAGTTGTTGGCCGGCAAAGATGGGACGTTGTTGATCAGGTGGAATACCTTCTTTGTCTTGAATTTTTATTTTGACGCTCTCGATAGTCTCGTCTGGTTCAACTTCGATGGTGAGTCTCTTGCCAGTCAACGTTTGGATAAAAATTTGCATACCACCTCGAAGGCGCAACACCAAATGAAGAGTGCTGTCTTTTTGAATGTTGTAGTCATTGAGTGTACGATCATCTTCAAGCTGTTTGCCAGCAAAAATAAGACGTTGTTGATCAGGTGAAATACCTTCTTTATCGTGAATTTTGGCCTTCACATTTTGGATGGTATCAGAAGTTTCGACTTCAAGCGTAATAGTCTTACCAGTAAGTGTTTTCACGAAGATCTGCATATTGCTTGTTGATTAATAAAAGTGATTAAATTGAATAGATACAGAAATTAGATGTTCGATACGAATGAATGAATGAAGAAAATGGACTGACGACACAGACTTTTATAATATGTTGATGAATCAGTCTACTGTTGTTTCTTGTGGTTGAGCAATGCTAGATGAAATAATGACATTGATGGATGATACACAACCTAAACAGAACGAAAAATAACTTGACGTCAATGAGTCATAGTGTAAGAAAAAGAAATTTCTGTTTTCATTGAGAATAATTTACTGAATGCGATTGCACCTGGATGGTGAAAATTTCTTTTCTTAATAGATCTACTTAGTGATGAGAAACAAATGACTAACTTGAGCCATAACTCATGTGTCGAGAAGAAGAATTTTCTATATAGAAAATTCCTCAATCGATCTCATGCACTGTTGCACGTGTGTTGAGCAATAAATGGTTTTTTTTGTCTTCACCACAAGTATATATGACACTCTCATCAATTAGCAGTCAATACTGTAATCTTTTCTTATTCGTCTCATTCTCAACGAAACATGCGACCATGAGAAGAATACGCATGCTAACTTGATTTGATCATATGCCAGAAATCTGGACTAGTGTCCTTTTTTCTTTTAAACCATTGAAGTTGTTAAAGAAGAATCCAACTAATTGAAATAACACTGTCAAATCATGTCCAATATTGGGTTGTGAAAAATCCTCTTCAATTATGATTAAAATTTATATATTCAGATTCTTGTACACTATCGTAATGAATACTAGTGATTTTCTCTTCGAGTAGTCCCGCACAATGCTTATATGCACTGAAACAACAATACAATGTTGTTTGCAGTCGGTGCATGATAAACTTCCACTTTTGAGTTGGCATCCGATATGCTCGCCTATATTTCTATAGAAAACTGATTTTAACAGACAGAATATTTTCAAACAATTGTGAAGTATTATTTATGTATTACATTGAATTTCTTTGAAAACAAAAAACTCATGATTGAATCTTGATATGTGCATAATTCAGAGTGACAATTCATGTCGACGATGAACGATGTTGTGTAACCATTCCACAAGATCATATTGATTATGATGACGATCATGACCATATAAAACATATAACGTTCGAAGATTGATCAATACTAAGATATTCTCTCGATCTTTTACTTTGATGGCCAACATTCGACATTGAACACACAATAATGATCGACTCAGCGTCATACATTGTTTATTATTGTAGCGATATGTACGATGTAATCGATCGTAACATCGTAGACCGAGTCGACAAGGTAGTACACTAGTCTATTAATAAGGTAGCATTGTCGATGTGGCCCAGGTTTGAAATTTCGATGAGTAGAGATTAGACTCGTGGAAAGAGTTGCTGTAAGTGTGAATAAATGATCAAATGCCAGAATAATTGACAAAACCGACGATCAAAATCGGAAGTTAAAGAGACAATATTTCGATATTGATATATTGAACATGAGATAATGTCTTGTCGTCGAGTATCCGTATTGTCTATGTAAATTGGAAAGTAACTGAGCGCGTAAAGCACTGAATAAATATACATGATCGCCAATGACATCAAACAAACTATTGATGATGTTCGATTCAAAATGGTTTATGATATGTGGCAAGTAACTTTTGGATTAATTCTTTCGTATTTTTATCATCAATCGAATGATGAAGATTGGAATCTATTTTGAATTGAAACACTTTCAGTTGAGGTAAATAAATAACAATAACTTGGTTCCATCAAAGACCATATTTAATGATATTTCGATTTTTAAATGAGTAACACTCGGTACTAACTGCAACGGGTTGGATATCACGTGTTGTGAACCTGGTTAAGAGAGTGCTATGTTTTTGACCGATCGATTTGCAGATAATGGTCTTTGTTCATAAAGAAGAAGTTGATCATCATCTTCATAGATATTCAATGATGTAGAAAATTTTCGTAGAGCAGTTGTTTTCTTTAAGGGGCCTCTTCCTCAGAATTGATTTCCCACTTAGAACGAACTGTTTGGGCTGAAATTTTCAGGAATGAATGCTCCATGTGAGAAAAGCTTATAGTATAAATTTCAGCCCCGATATGTCATACTAGCTCGAACATCCAGCTTGACACTCCAAAACACCGACGTCATACGAAATCCAAATCAAAGCAGAAACGCAATGTAATCATTCGAAAGGTATTTCCAGTCAGCACCGTCCAATAAGGACTCTTAAGCAACATAGAAATTAAGATCATGGTGCGCTTGACTCACCCTTAACGAAAGAGATGAAGAGAGATACAGTGAGCATAAAAGAAATCGATTGTATTACATAAATGAATAACAAAACCAATGAGCCAGTTTACTGCTTTTTCTTGTAAAATTCAAACGAAAATTATTTGATGAAAAATTGCCACAGTCTTTATTGACACGAAATATTTACTGAGAAACTTTTCAAGATCAGTATCCGATATTTACAATTGATCGAAAATCAAAAAATCATTTATTTTCATCAGAATCGTACTTACTGATAATCATAAGCACACTCAACAGAAGTTTTAGTTAGAAAACATAAGTCGATAGAAAGAACGCTATTGGGTGTGGGTACTAGGTGAAGAGAAGAATCGAAGACCTACACCGATACTCTTCACTATACTTTTACTGCACAGACTTAATAACTATAAATGAGCAAACTAATTTTTTCATATCTGATAACATTATTTTAGTTTGTTGAAGTACTCTGACCACGAAAATAATGATACGATATGTCATGTCTGAATAGGTAAAAAGATAAGTACATATTGATCTATTATCATGAAAAGACCTTACTGGGTGTGGGTGTGGGTGTGAGTATGGGTGTGGGCACGGGTATGGATGTTCTCTTCTGGCTCTTTAACACCCACACACAGCTCCGTACTAGATGATACATCGAGCGAAAAGCATATTTCTGTTTGACAACTTCTACATTTGAATGAATATGGTACTATGGAAGAATTCAAAAAGTAATGTATTGTTGCATGAGCTGGAAATATATCTCAAACATAGTATGCATTATATATTAATCATTTTTTTTCACTACAGGCTGGTTCTCGATCAAATGACAAAATAGAGAAATGC